AACAGTTTCATCGCTTTGTCCCAGGTTTTAGTTGTTTTTTACATGCGAACAGTGTCAACGCTTTGTGCCAGGTTTTAGTTGTTTTTTTACATGTGAACAGTGTCAACGCTTTGTGCCAGGTTTTAGTTCGTTTTTTACATGCGAACAGTGTCAACGCTTTGTGCCAGGTTTTAGTTGTTTTTTACATGTGAACAGTGTCAACGCTTTGTGCCAGGTTTTAGTTCGTTTTTTACATGCGAACAGTGTCAACGCTTTGTGTCAGGTTTTAGTTGTTTTTTACATGTGAACAGTTTCATCGCTTTGTACCAGGTTTTAGTTGTTTTTTTACATGTGAACAGTTTCATTGCTTTTTGCAAGGTTTTAGTTGTTTTTTACATGTGAACAGTTTCATCGTTTTGTGCCAGGTTTTAGTTGTTTTTACATGTGAACAGTTTCTCGTTTAAAAATACTTTTAATGCTTATTATTAAAACGTTTTACTTCCGAGGTTATATTTTTTGTGTTTTTTTTTTTACAACGTGGTTGAGTTTATTTGTTTACTCTCTTTTTATAATAAACAGCGTCGGAACTACATATCTCTACGCCACACCCTCTCCGTTGGCATAGCGGTAAGTCGTCAGAACTTAGAACACTAGAAACCGGGTTTCGATTCTCGTGGTGGGGACAGCACAGATAGCTCATCCTGTAGCTTTGTGCTTAACTACAAACAAACATATCTATGCTGGACATATTTGAATTTTTATCTAATATACTGCTTGTTTTAATAAAGAACTTAACAGAAAATGAGAGCTTGAGCTACCTGTATAACACAGGTACCCTAAATTAACTTGGTGATATAACTACAGCAGAGGATTCATTAAATGTAATTTATTCTATCAATTACACACACACAGATATATATATATACATATCTATGTGTGTGTATATAACAAATCTAGTTAGAAATTATAAACTTCTGTTATTAACACAGATGTCTGATGACGACAGACTGTCTCTCACCACGGCTGTCAGCGACGAGGAAGACGCTGATACAAGAAACTCACCCTTTCGTTCTCGTTCGGGGACCGCTGCTGCCTCGTTCAACTGTACCGGTGCTGTTAGAAAAGCTGGGTAAGTTAGGCCTAAAAATCGGTTTATAATCCATTATGTTAGGCTTACAAAAGTGATCGTTCCAAGAGGTTTTTTTTTTTTTTTTTTACAAACCTTATGAGAATAAATAGAGGAAAACTGTTTAAAACAAGAAGTACACTTAATGTAAATATTTTATATTAAGTTAGCTTCTGCAAGGGCGTATACATATTTGAAGTGTGAATATTATTATGAAAATTGTTCAAAATAATGCCATAGCGAGCTTTATAGTTAACACATTAAGTTCCATAAGGTGGCGTAAGAATAACCAGTTCAGAATCCTTCTAGTCTTACTCGTAATATAAAATATTTACAGTTTTTCTAATGAAGATAAGCTAATGTTTCATTTTGATTTTTCCAAGAAAGCACTTAAGTGCATAACTTCTCGCCCACAGAAGAAAAAATATACAAATCGCGTACAATACAATTATAGAATTTGACTTAATTTCTTGCTTGCCTAAACCATTGAAAAAGAAAAGAAAGAAACCATTATGTCAAGTTAAGAACTCGTTATTTGAATAACATACTGGTTTGTTTTGCTTAGAATAATAGTAAGAATAATATTATCTTGGAACAACCTATTTTAATTGACTAATCTATACTCTTTTACGGATATTCAAAAGACAAACATTACTACTGGCCAAAGATTTTCCGTCTGAAAAATATATTGGTGTTTTCCCTTAATTCCTCGTGAGGAAAATGGGTTTAAGGACGTGATTATTTTTTGTGTTGTTGTTTTTGGTTTTTGCTTTGTTAGTCTGGGTTAGATCAATTTTGAGGACTACTTCCTCTCGCTAGACATCAAGCCCTCAAGATAGCGTTGTTCATTGGCATGAGTTACAGAACTGTGAAGCTGAAAAAAATACAAGTAAGCGCCTCTCTTGAACTACATCTATCTGGTTGAACTGGTTCTACACAAAGGATATCGTTATTAAGGGAATCTGTGGAAGGAATGTAAACAGTTTTTCCCATACTATAAAGACATTGAAATGCTTCCTGTTTAAAAAGTTTTGCCCATAGTGCTATGTATGCAAACGTGAATTTCTAAAGTAAAATGCATGTTGGTTATCCTAAAAACGTGAAATCTGGTGCTTTTTTCTGTACCTCAGAAACTTCTGACATTAGCACGACGATTTTCTCGAGGTAATTAAATGCCAGAATTCCTTTGTAATTTTAACTCTAGATCATGTTTCTGAGACATCCAATTGTACGACTTTTCATGAAGAGAGAGCGAGCTTTAATGTAGAAAATGGGAAAGGCTAAGAAACCTTGTATCATATTTTTTCGCTTACTTTGAGAACGTAAATTCTCCCCTAGTAGGTACAACACACTAGGTTTTCCAAACCCTTTTTTATCAGATAGAACAACAGAGAAAATAAGATGTGATTTTCAATGAAAACAAAAACTATTTTCAGAAAAGTTTTATTTCAGTTCATAACATTTATATATCTGTGTAAGATTATTATTATACCTTAACAACGTATCCCTGGGAAAGGACGCCAGCGAAACATATAGTACAAACATAAGATTTTTTCTTTCAAATATATATAAGTTAACCGTTTAAAATGTATATATATATATATATACATACAAGTGTTTTTCCCCTTTATGTTAACGTATGGAATAATAATATCTATAATATCTACAGAAGTTAATGTTAATATGTCACAGAGTCTTCTGGGTGATGTCTAAAAGTTTCACAGTATTTCATACATATTTACAATATAGGTTAGTTTATCACTAAATCTCTCTTCCAGGTCTTCAGACTTGTATATGTACTTGATTCATGACTACGGGCGTTAAGCCACTTATCTCGCGCTATGTGAATGGCTGAATGACTATAGCTCTTTAGCTTTACAACACTACCATTTTTGATATTTACTGGTAATTGTTTTTGGTTAATCATGTCTGTCGCCATGTTTATTCTATATTAGAAATGGTGTCAAAACAAGAATTAGTGCTACATGTAAGTGTAATTATTCACTGCAAAGTTTATATGCAAGATAACTCGGTTACCAAAACTTGTTAAGTTTATAACATGATTTACCCGACAGAGCATAGAATATGTTTATATGCACCGTTCTAAAAGATGGTATCTATCTAGTAATTTTTGTTTGCATCTTTGTTTACTTGGTTTTTGAATTCTTCCCGTAGTTTCTGACAAAACGACTTGAAATTTTGCGTTTAGAATCTTGAACCTTGCAGAATAAAAAGTAAGAAAATAATTTGCGAACGTATCATTCGAGGGGGTCCTATAAAATGGAGTGACAAAGAAGTTTTGGTTTCTGCTTGTTTGTTTTTGAATTTCGCGCAAAGCTATTTGAGGGCTATCTGCGCTAGCCGTCTCTAATTTAGAAATGACTGCTATTAAACACCACCCACCGCCAACTCTTGAGTTTCTCTTTATCAGTGAATAGTATGGTATGACCGTCACATTATAATGCCCCCACGGCTGAAATGGCGAGCATGTTCGGGGACGAGAGTCGAATCCACGACCCTCAGTTTGTGAGTCAAGTTCCCTAACCACCAGGCCATGCCGGGCCTAGGGGTTTTGATATCTTGTATTTGACTGAACTATTTTACTTAAAATTGGTATTAAACTGTAAAAAGCAGTTCAAAGGTCAAAGGGAAATCTCTCTGAAGTGAGTTCACGCACTGTCAAAATAAATGTATAACTTTATTTTCAAAATTTTCCTATTGGGGCACCTAATGGAAAATCAATTGGGTTTTGATTATTTGACGATTAACTAACTGATTTACTTGGAAATTGACAAAAACATGTAAATTGCTGTTCAACGCAGTGTATGCAACGTGCTTTACTTGTTTTTATTTCCTGTGAATGTTTAAAGGTAATTTACTGGTACACTGTCAATTTTTTTTTTTTTTGGTTCTCTGACGTCCATCAGAGGCGAAATGTTTTTATTTGTTTGTTTATTGTTAAGCACATAGCTGCACAATGAGGTATATGTGCTTTGACCACCGTTAGTATCGAAACCCGATTTTTTGCATTATAAGCCCTCGGAGTTATCGCTAAGATACCAGGGGACGAAGTGAAATGTAATAGGATTTTTGATTGAATGTTGTTTTTTTAAAAAGGAATAGTATTTATAACATATCTTATCCTTATAATTACATTTATATGCTAGTACTCGTTAAAATCTAGAGTTTTGATCCATCATGTAAGCTTCCCAGTGGCACAACGCTCTGTCTGCGGACTTCCAACGCTAGAAATCGGGTTTCGATACCCGTGGTGGGCAGAGCACGGATAGCCCATTGTGTAGCTTTGTGCTTAACTACAAACAAACAAACCATCAAGTAAACAAATTTATATACCTATGTTTATATGATCAAATTAATAAATTTTGACATGATAGTGTTCAGTTCGTGGACAACTGAAGGCACCAGAGGAAACACAAGGGTTCTTTGTATGCCTTAATAATAGTATTTGCTAATTTATCTAAAACTCAGAATTATGACAAGGAAAAAATTCATCCCGAAAAATGATTATTGTTTTTTTTTTGCACAAGTAACGCCACAGGTGAGAAATGTGTGAAATGGATGCCATTTCTGACAGAACTCTGTAGAATGTTAATGTATTAACCAATCACTTGTAGCGTTATACACAAGTTAGACAACTCTTGTAAGATCCACAAGTAACAAAAGTAAATAAATAATTTTTGTATTCGTTGGACTCGCATGGGAAAATTAACTGTAGAAACTGTTGTAATGTCATTCTCATGTTTTCATGAAAAAAGTTATGTATATTATCATTAATTTAACAACGTAATTAGATGGGAATATGTGTGTGTGAATATATTACCTCCGGAGGTATGACTTGTAAATACATGTATTATCAGACATTCAATCAGTTGATCTCTCACTAACTTCTTATCGATGAAACGACTCTTGTCATCTGTCACGTGACAAACGTTCAACCATGCCCAGAAGCATAGTGTGCTTAGAATATTCTAATCGAAATTCATTTGTTCTGAATTAACATAATTAAAATGTAAACACTGAACATTCTACGCTCTTGGGAAGTTTTATCGAACTTAATCAGAGCAAACTGTTCAACTTTATAAATACATGAAATAAGGAAAAACAGTGTCATTTTACATATTTTTTATATCATCACTATGTTAAATATCTTTAGTTTAGAACCAACAACCACCATCTTCTCTGTAATACGAACCTTTTCATCAAGTAGACTTTAACGATAGTTTTTATAGGTGAAATGTTGTACCAAAATCTTTAGTCGTTGCCCCCCCCCCCAGTGGAATCCTCAATATCATTCAACACCATGTCATAGTTATTATGGATCAGTGATTCGTTTTATATCGAGAGATAAATGAGAAAGCGTTGTCAGGGCTTGGAGCTGCGAAGGTACAAGCTTTAAGAATCCTTATAGAGAAATGAATATATTCTGTAGTTCACAAGTGCCGTAACCAGGTTTTTCTAGTGGGGGGCGGGATAGAGATCGAGAATGATCGAACTATGATGACTCCGCCAAAAAGTACAAGAAAATAATTGTCACATCTAAACGATCACTTAAATTCTCTAGAAAACTTAGGCCTATTACGTTTTAATAATTTCAAAAAAAAAAAGACTACCGTCAGTCATTAGATTTACGCATTCACCCCAACTGTAAATTCAATGAATACCCATTCCAAACCCATGTTGCTCTTTCATTGGTGATTGAATACTTGAGAAATAATTTTTTGCCCTATCATTTAGTTCAGTAGTTTTTAAATTGGGGGCATGCCCCCGGAACGACGTGAAACATATCTTCGGGGCCCATGAAAAGATTAGAGAAATAAAAAGTTACCGTAAAAATTATTTACTGCAATGAATTACACAACTATACTAAAAGTAATACGGTCAGCGCTCGCATATCTGATCACAAAAAATTTAGATAAATTACTTATTGTTACATCAATATTTTCCTTGGAATTAAAGTAAATGTACCAGAGAAACTGGTCAAATGAGTGGTACCCTTCAGACAAACCCAAAACTAACCAAATCATCTTTCCTTGCCCATTCCCGAAAGAGACTATGAATATGATGTCTTTCTGACTCCAACATGGAGTCAGCATCGTTAACAAAATGGTAATGCAGGTACAGGTAGCATAGCAAGCTACAGAATTACATAAACTTCCATACACAACGTATCTGATATGCATGGTGTAAAGTCATTGGAAGAAACAGAATCGGGGCGAGGAACTACTTGCAACATACAAAACTCACACCCACACTGTTACACTCTTACACCTAGCTCAACATCAAGAGCGTTAACTCAAGGACCAACCTACCAGAGTGAATAGGAGAGTTTACCCATCTGAAAAAAAAATATGGAAATAGATCGTAAGATAATCAATCGGTCAAGAAAAATAGACAGATAGATAGGCAGGTAGTTAGATACATCTTTGTATTTTTACAATAACTTTTTTTATGTAAGGCAATTTTGTATTTATAAACTAGGATATTCAAACTACTGAAATACAAAAGGAACTTCCAGAAACTAATTTTGGATTATTAACTATAATTCTGTTTTCACTGCTTTCCTTATTATCAGATTTCTCAGCGTGAAGAAGTGGCTTCTAAGAAAACATCGCCAGGTGGAGCTTGCCAAAAAGCGAGGCTGGAAAGGGTATTGGGTTTGTCTGAAGGGTACCACTCTTCTCTTCTATCCATGTGACAACCGTGATGGTCGAGCAATTGACAATACCCCAAAACATCTAATAATCGTTGATGGAGCCATCATGCAGCCTATCCCAGAACACCCGAAACGGGATTACATATTCTGCTTAAGCACTGCCTTTGGTGATGCTTATCTCTTTCAGGTACTATCTCAGATATGTTTTTTTTTATTAGACAGTCACTAATATCCTAACCAGAAAGTATACAAAAAAAAGGTATTTGAAACAAACTCTCAAGATAAATTTAACTTGTGTATAATTTATTTATATCACTTTAAATGTTTTTCTTTACCACCTACAAACCCACTGGACTATGAAAATGGAATTGTAAGGTAAATGCATCAACATTTAGAAGTATGTTTGTACTGCAGAAAAGAAGTTCCAATGATATTTAAACACGATAAAAAAAAGATATCGAAGGCGGGGCTAGGACAGTGAAGTGACCGACAGGTGAATTGAAACGTGGTAGGAACGTTTGTACGATAATTCAAAAGATTAAGTTTTAGTAAAGCTTAGATTGAAGTTCCAATGAAAAATAAAACTTTAAAGCGGAAATTATAGCATTAAGACAATTAATTTTAACAATGTTGATCATCTCTAATACTTACGTTTGAGATCTCTATTACTAACAACGTTGAATATCTCTATTACTAACAACGTTGAATATCTCTATTACTAACAACGTTGAATGTCACTATTACTAACAACGTTGAATATCTCTATTACTAACAATATTGGAAATCTCTATTACTAACAACGTTGAATATCTATATTACTAACAATATTGGAAATCTCTATTACTAACAACGTTGAATATCTCTATTACTAACAATATTGGAAATCTCTATTACTAACAACGTTGAATATCTCTATTACTAACAATATTGGAAATCTCTATTACTAACAACGTTGAATATCTCTATTACTAACAACGTTGAATGTCACTATTACTAACAACGTTGAACATTACTAGTACTGACAACGTTGAACATCACTAGTACTGACAACTTTGTCTTAATTTCAGGATTAAGAAATTTTGAAAAGATAGACAATATATATAAATAGTTCGTTGTAGACGTTCTCTTTAGTGATTGGTATAGTTGTTTATAATGGTTATCGTACTATTTTTCCAGGCACCTTGTCAGGTAGAGTTGGAGAACTGGATTAACAGTATTCACTCTGCTTGTGCTGCAGCGTTTGCAAGGCATCGTGGGAAAACTGGAACGTTGCACCTCCTGCAGGAAGAAGTTTTTCGTTTGGAGAAAGAGATCGAATCGGTATGGGTACGGTCATTTTGTCTTTTTACTATTATTATCAGAGGTTTCACTCTGTTGAAACCCAACTTCGGGGACTTATCTTTTTATTTAATTTGTTTGCTGCATTCTCTTACGATAATTCAATATTTTTTCATATCATTTACGAAATATTAACAACTTTATAAAAGCCCTTCGTTTATGTAGAGTACTCATGGGCGGAAGTTGGGGGATTATTTCACCCCATAATCTGTACATTCTGACTTCACAGGGTTTTTTTTTCAGTAGTTTACAAGTACATATATATAAAATCTATCAAACAGTTTCTACGTACCCACGTAGATTTAATTTTACGTATATTGTAATTTAAGTAACACTGACAATCGGCAAATATTTACAAGTTGACCTATTCGGCTTTTTGCCCCCCCCCCCCACTTCCCCAATATAAAAGTCAAACTTTACCTATGAGAATATATACTAATCAGACATTTTTAGGATAAAATATCCTTTTTTTATGTAAAGATTCTTTTTTAAACAAAAAATCGTTCAGCAGTTTGAAAATCTATATTTCTTTTGGAAGTCATGAATTGTTTACAGTTCTAATTTAAAAAGGTAATACTTGAATAAAAAGCATAAATAACGATCAGAATCTGTATTCTCAATTTCTGTTTCATGCTTCTGCGACCTGTAATCCTATATTAATGGAGTATTTCATAACAAGCTTGTATCTTATGGTTAAAAATATCAATAACAGCGAGGTACATAGCTGATAGATCAATCCATTCTAGTAATTATAAGTTTTTCTTTTATTATACTGCATGCTAAGTATAGTTAGACTGGTATATTGAATTACTAAATTAGCCATATTAATTGTGTAGGTGTATTTTGCGTTTATGGCGTTGCTACTAAAGCTATCTGTTGATTAGAGGGCAGGCAGCCAGTCGGCACCATCCTACCACCTAACATCCACGATTATGGATTAACTGTCACTTTTATAACGCACGAACAGCTTAAAATGCGTGGAAAATTTTGTGGTGTCGCACAAATTCGAACCTGACTCTCTAGCTCCAAAATTAAGAGCTCTACCATAGGACCAACCCTGTCTTAGTTACTGGGCTAAATTGTGGTTCTTATCTATGTACATAATCTGCGTTGATAATCAGGTAAAGGCTACTTAATGATAATTATATTTTATGCCACTTCTGCTGGAAATAAATAAAAAGAGATTGGCAATACTAAAACATAAAAGTTTCTTTTACAAAATGTTTTTCCCTTTTTAGACAACCATGAGTTGGACGGATAGTTTTTTTAATGAAGTCTCTATTATGTAAAAACATTTCGAAAAAACATTATAACTACAAAAAGCCTTCAATAAATATTCAACACCTTGGAGAACACGTTGGTTCACTCAAATAAATAGCAACGAAGGAGTTAGGTAGCTAAAAGGTAGACTTCTTTATTGTGAAGTGATAATATTTATTCATTTATCATGTCATTGGTATAAAGTTATCAGCAATATTCACCTGCTCACTGGTAAACGCAAAATTTACATGCTGTCACTAGATGTATGTACTACAAAAAATTTAACTACAACTAGGCTTATTGTTGACCTGCTACATAAGCTACCCAAATGTTTTCACCATTTACCTGTTATGGGTATACCAGCCCCTTGTTTTCTAGGGAGCCGGGCGTGGCTATCTGGTTAACGTGTGTGAATTGTGAATCCGAAAATTCATGGTTTATGACTAGAGGGAAGGCAGCTAGTCATCACCACCCACCGCCAACTCTTGGACTACTATTTTACCAACAAATAGTGGGATTGACCGTCACATTATAACGCCCCCACAGCTGAGAGGTCGAGCATGTTTGATGTGACGGGAATTCGAACCCGCAGCCCACAGATTGCTGGTCGAGCGCCCTAACCACCTGGCCATCGTCGAAAGAAAACATGTCGCTCTGCACAGTGGGGTTGTGTTTGCGTTATAAGAGTACGGTTAAGTTCCATTGTTCGATCACGTAAGAGTGGCAGTAGGTGCTGTTGTGAATAGTCACTTTTACTCTTGTTTATGAGCCCAAAATTAGGGACTTTGCACGAAAATCTGAAACAAAAACAAGTTATCTTGAGTCCTCTGAAATGACCCATTTTAAAGTTCGTCCTATTCAGAGATGTATCCAAGGGAATAAAATATAGTTAAGTGTGAAGTTTAACATTTCATTCACTGTTAAATAATTTTGTAATTTGTTACATCTGTATTCATTAAATTGAATTAGATAATTGCTAAGTAACCGATATTATATATAT